ACGTACCAGGGGACAAGGGGGACAGGGGACCCCATTCCCAGGGGACAAGGGACATCCCTGGGGACGAGGGACTCCCCTGGGGACACGGGGACAGGAGACCCCATCCCCTGGGGACATGGGGACAAGGGACCCCAAACCCAGGGGACAGGGGACTCTCCTGGGGACAGGGGACCCCCGGGGGACACGGGGACAGGAGACCCCATCCCCTGGGGACAAGGGACATCCCAGGGGACAAGGGGGACAGGGGCCCCCATCCTCTGGGGACAAGGGACATCCCAGGGGACAAGGGGGACAGGGGACCCCATCCTCTGGGGACAAGGGACAAGGGACCCCAAACCCAGGGGACAGGGGACTCTCCTGGGGACAGGGGACCCCCGGGGGACACGGGGACAGGAGACCCCATCCCCTGGGGACAAGGGACATCCCAGGGGACAAGGGGGACAGGGGCCCCCATCCTCTGGGGACAAGGGACATCCCAGGGGACAAGGGGGACAGGGGACCCCATCCTCTGGGGACAAGGGACATCCCAGGGGACAAGGGGGACAAGGGGGACAGGGGACCCCATCCTCTGGGGACAAGGGACATCCCAGGGGACAAGGGGGACAAGGGGGACAGGGGACCCCATCCCCTGGGGACAAGGGGGGTCTCTGGGGACAAGCGATTTTAGGGGGACAAGGGGGACAGGGGCCCCCATCCCCTGGGGACAAGGGGTGTCTCTGGGGACAAGTGACCCCCTGGGGACATGGGGACAGGGGACCCCATCCCCTGGGGACCATCTCCCCAAGGACAAGGGACATCCCTGGGGACAAAGGACCCTCCTGGGGACAAGTGACACCGCCTCACTGGGGACGGAAGACCCCACCCCCTGGGGACCATCACCCTGGGGACAATCCCAAGGGACAAGGGACACCCTTGGAGATAAGGGACCCCCCTGGGGACAAGGGGACATGAAACTCCATCCCTTGGGGACAAGGGACATTCCAGGGGACAAGGGGGACAGGGGACCCCATCCCCTGGGGACAAGGGACATCCCAGGGAACAAGGACCCCCCCTGGGGACAAGGGACCCCTCAGGGGACATGGAGACAGGAGACCCCATCCCCTGGGGACAAGGGACATCCCAGGGAACAAGGACCCCCCCTGGGGACAAGGGACCCCTCAGGGGACATGGAGACAGGAGACCCCATCCCCTGGGGACAAGGGACATCCCAGGGAACAAGGACCCCCCCTGGGGACAAGGGACCCCTCAGGGGACATGGAGACAGGAGACCCCATCCCCTGGGGACCATCCCCTGGGGACAAGGGACACCCCAAGGGGACACGGAGGACATGGGACCCTCCCCTCCCTGGGGACAGGCGACCGTACCCCGTCCGCGGTGACGGTGACACTGGGCCTGGTGCCAGGTCGGATCCCGCGCCCGG